GGGCAGTGTTTTGTTCTGCTGTGCATAAGGTCGCTGTGAGTCGGTACCGACTCTATGGCACTTAACAACAACAACAACAACAACAGCATGTATTGTAGCAAGAATTTTAACACTGGGAGATAAAATTCCTGTGGAATCTATTTATTCCCCTACTATGGTCCATGGGCTTCTGAATATTGTACCCAAAGTCCTTAATTCTATTTTCAGGCTTTTGGCATTAGTGTTATGAGTACAGGTCCATCTCTGAAGATATAAATGAGAGAGAGATGATGTCTGGCACCGAGTACTCATTGAACCTAGCTAAGACAGCATAAACCCAAATGAAACAATTGTTCCCGACTGTTTAAAATGAAAGAAGACACAGGTATCTTAAGAGTTCAGAGGTCTGGAATAGTTAGGAAATCCTCACAGGGAAGACTTCAAAGTCCAGGTTTGTGTACACTAGGCAAAACGAGTGGCTTTGAAGACTATGGTAACAAAGATGCACCATGTATACAATAAGTGAGCATGATCTGCTGCCTCTGTTCCTTTGGTGTCTGAATATGGCGTGCCTGGCTAGACCACCACCAACCATGATTATTCTCACCACCACTGTGGAAGCTCCCCTCAGATGCAGACCCTACAGCTCCTGCTCACACACAGCCAATGTCTCTAATGGATTGTTCTGACAGCTTTTCTAAACCATGCTTTCTGTTCTTCAGCTTTCTGCTTGCCTCTGAACCTTTCCAAATCCAGCAGACCTTTCACCTCTGAAACGACAACCATCCTCCCCCTGGAGAACACTACCACCTGCCCACTCCAGCCCATGAGAATAATTACAATCATTAAGAATTCCTTATATTTACTTAGGGCTCTGAGGTTCTGAATGCTTTTTCACATCCACTCTCCTATCCTAGCAATGTTGGAAAGAACATATGCCAGTGCTATGCTGGGATGTAAGTGGGGCAGACCACTTGTCCAATGTCACACTGGACAACCAGTGGACATGAGCTGGTTCTGGGATTGGAACCCAGGTCTCCTGACCCTTGAGCTGGTTTAGTATGAACAGCACCTTAGTCCTCATTATTCCCAGGACTGGTGTGTCTGATCCAGACCTGTCATGAACCAATCAATCCATATGGTTGTTGTTGTTAAGCGCTATCAAGTCAGTTCCAATGCATAGCAACCTTGTATGGGTTTCCAAGAAGAAGCTAGTGGGTTTGAACTGTTGACTTTGTGGTTAGCAGTCCAGTGCTGATCCTCCAGGACCATGCCAGGCCTCTGAGACAGAGATCTTATTTTATTGGTCTTTGTGTTCCCAGTTACCAGCACAGCATCTAGCATACAGTCGGCACTTTGTCAATGTCAGTTGCATGAGTGTATGTCTAGAGAAAGCCCACAGATTTAAGTTCCATATGATTATGGAGAAATTGATCTCCCTTGCAATCCATTTAGGTCTGGGAAATCTCCCAGGTGGCCAGATTGATTCAAAATCATTTCCAAAGCTTTGCTTCTATGTCATGAGTCTGGTTTGGTCAGGACCACTGATGCGTACCTGGAGTTCCAAGGTTGCTTTGGAGTGAACCAGGCTATATGATGTAGGGCTAGGAAGAGGTTACATTCCAGGTTACATCTGTCTGGCCTCCATTCCATTATATTTTGATGGTTTGCAAAATTATTCAGCAAACTGGCACATAAGAGTGAAAGATATGGAATTTATTAATTTAATCAAATAAAACTTAGAGCAAAGTTAATATAACACATTTAATGACATTAGAGAATTAATGTCTTACATAGTTATTAAGCATAAATGGTAAACAGTTTATATGAATGACTGCAATTAGAATTGCTTTAATTGAGTCAAATCAGTTTCTAAGTTTCTCTCATTTTACTTTATGAGTTCTCCAGTATTTATATAGTTGGAATCAGTACCTAAAGTTTTCCTTGATACCATTTACCAGTTAGTATCTGAGTTTCTTGGAGCACAAGAAGATAATTCTGAGGACAGAGAATAGACCATTTCACTTTTCTCTATTGCTGGCCCTGTTCAGCTGTTCCTCCTGGTCAGTATTCAGTCCACTTCTCTATCCTTTCCTCTGAAGCTCAGGGCTCCAAGATTATCACTTGTATCTGTTTCATTTGTTCTCTCATATAGTGTAACAGTTACGAATTGGGCTACTAACCTCAAGGTTGGCAGTTCAAACTACCAGCTGTTCCTCAGGAGAAAGAAGAGGCTTTCTGCTCCCATAAAGAGTTGCAGCCTTGGAAACCCTGTGCAGGGTCACTATGAGTTGGAACTGACTCCACGATACTTAACAACAGCAACAATCTTTGTCATGGAGGGTCTCTGTAGCATGTCTGCCTCATCCGCCATCTTGCCAGAAGTCGGTCATTTTGCTTTCTAAAAGTTTCTTCAACCGTACCTATTGCTGTCTCTAAGGGTTTCCTATTCAACAACATGGACCTCTTCTCGTACTTTCCTTCCAAGATTTTCTTTAACTCATGATGGATGAGCTGATAACAAACGTAGAAATTCTAAACAGTTACCAAGAAGAAATTTCTAACTCTCATCCAAAAAGGTATTTGTTACACCAGGGATGTCAGACACATCAGTAAGAACAGGGTCCTAGCTCGTGGGGGTCTTAGTGGACTGTTGCTTTTGCTGAGCAACACCCTGGCTCATTGCTACACAGTTGTTCAAACCCAGGTTTCTAATCTTAAAGGCAGAGTCCAGAAAGGAACTCAGAGGCTGGTGCTTTGACGTGGGTGCCTTTGACCACATCCTCTCATACCTGTGTCTGAGTCCATTTCATGCTTTCTGTAAACCTGGAGGAATGCCAGTCAAATTGAGACTTTTCTCCTGATTCAGTACTCACACTGTGCACATGGTACAATTGTTCTTCCAGCAGATAAGAAAGGTGTTTGAAGTCAGGTATGGTTAGGCCGTGGGCAGTAAAAAAGGTCTGGCACTGGATCAGAGCCTCTCGTAGACATGGGAGGTAGGGGTTACAATGATAGAGGGCTCCCAGGAATAAAGATGTTCTTATCCTTTATGCTTTGCTTCAAAATTTCTTCCATCCATCTGAGAACTTGGATAAAAGGCTGGGTAGGCTTGCAATCATTTGAGTTTAGAATGCTGTGGTTGTTAGGTGCCATTGAATCGGTGTCAACTCAAAGCAACCCTGTGTACAACAGAACAAAACACTTCCCCGTCCTGCACCATCCTCACAATCATAACGATGTTTGAGCCCATTGGTGTAGCCACTGTGTCCATCCATCTTGTTGAGGATCTTCATCTTTTTCATTGAGGCTTGACTTTACCAAGCCTGATGTCCAGGGACTGGTCCTTCCTGATCACTTGTCCGTAGTATGTAGGATGGTTTTAGAAAGGCAGGTGCTAAACCTTTGGGTATGTGTGGGTGCTGCATGATCAACATCAACCTTTCACTGGAGCTTGGGGTTTCTTTACCAGGAGTTGGAGAGAGAATGGGGAGACACCAGAGAGAAAGCCTTGTACTTGCACAGTAAGAAAAAAAGATATAAAAATGCAATTACCTGGCATGCTAATGCATTGGTATGATAACTTTTAGTCTCAATTCAAATGCAATACTTGATCCTTCCTGTTTGGATTTAGAAGAGTATTACAAGAAATAAGGGAGGTTAGGTCTCTGGGGATGACCTGAAAAACTTGTCCCCACAGCAGTTTGTGTCTGTATAGGAACAGACTATCCAAGCTTTCACTTCCTGCCTTGTGGGACTTTTCTGAGTGGGGAGAGGACACTAAGGATAGGGGTGAGAACATGCCATTATCGTCACCAGCCTTTAAACCAGCGCTGCCTCTTGCAGTCCTTGCCTCTGGCCCTGTGCCTGAGATGGGATGGATGGTTCCACAGACCTGGCCTCCTTCCTTTGGGTTGGGTGGAGTGGTGGGGGTGATTATCTTTGAGAATCTTCTGAGAAACACAAATTTCAGCCCACAGTTTCAGGGAAAGTCCTCCGATAATGCAGGGTCAGACAGATAGTGAAAAGGAATCCAAATAGGAACAAGATAAACCAGGAAGCCAAATAGGAAGGAAAACCAAATGACGCAACTTTGTACTGCCTACAAACAGGGATCCGTGAGTAATAGGAACGGTGAGTCTAGCCAAAGCCAGGGAGCTTAGTGTTGAAATAAGCCAGAGTAAAGGAAGTTGGGCCCAGGGAAATTATACTGAGGAGCACACGGACCATCCGGTAGTGATGGCCAGGAGACAGGAACAGCTGAGGCCAAAGACTGACAACACTCAGGCCACTGAGAAGGGACATGTGGAACCTGCCAGCAGCCAGAGTAGGTTCTGCTGGGCCACTGTAGCCTGTATCCCTGTTGCTGTTAAGTGTTGTTGAATCAGTTCCAACTCATAGCGACCCTGTATAGGGTTTCCAAGGAGCAGCTGGTGGGTTTGAACTGCCAATCTTGTGGTTAGCAGTCCAGTGCTGAACTTACAGTGCCCTCCCAGGTAGGGTCAGCTGATTCTAAAGAGCCCATTCCTTCAGCTTTGGCCAACCTGATCCACGTGCTCCATAGCTCTTGAAGGGACTCTGGTGTCCACACTGCAGGAGTTACCACTATGGACTAAAGGAATCTTCCTGCAGACCTTTTCAGTCTCTCCTTTTGCCACCTTTCTAGGAAAATTGCTGATTATGATGAAGAAATCCAGCATCTCTATGAGGAGATGGAACAACAAATCAAAAGTGAGAAGGAGCAGTTTCTCCTGAAAGTAAGTGTCCATCCCCCAGGTTGGGCTCCCAGGGCCACAATGAAATATCAGCTACTCCATGAGCCCCACTCTGACAATGCCACACCCCCAATTTCAAACTGCAGTGTCCCAACCCATGACACTATTGACACTCTCTTACTCTGCCGTATGTTTCAAAGACCTGGTCACCTTCAAACGTGGCACATAATTACTTCGCTGTTTATCTTGATTATCTCTCTCTCCTCCTGCTAACATTTAAATTCCACAAGAGTGGGGCATCTTTATCATTCACTTCCTAAGGTATCCTCAGCACCTAGGACAGGTCTGGAATAGAATTAAGTACTCAATGGATATTTATTACGAATAGATGAACAAATGAATTAACAAACAAATTAATGAAATAAAGCAGAGTAAAGGAAGAAGGATCCAGGGAAGCTCTTCTGAGCAGCATTTGGACCAGATGAGAGTAATGGCCAGGAAACAGAATGGAAGTGGGAAAGTTGCATACTTAACCAGAAAAGGCAGCTCATTCCACTCCAGGCTCAGTAACTGCTCCAAGAGAGCAAATCACCAGGTCTTTTCTCTCATGAAGTCACAGGTGGGTTCTAACCCTTCACATTTGGTTACCAGCCCAGTGTTTAACCACTGCACTATTAGGGCTCCTTGAAGGAGATATTTGTTGTTGTTGTTAAGTGCCTTCAAATGGGTTCTGACTCATAGCAACCCTATACAGGGTTTCCAAGGAGCAGCTGATGAGTTTGAACTTGCAGTTCAAACCAACCTTATGTCCCAGTGCTTATCCTACAGTGCCATACTAGGATTCCATGAAAGAAAAATAGGCAGATGTTTTTGCTTCTATTCTATGGAAAAAGAAGTAGAAATCTAAAAGAATGAAGTTTTGGTGGGTTTTTTTTTTCTCAGACTCACCCAGAAAGATAGTTGAGCAAGACTGGGGTAGAACACAAGTCTCTGGGCACCCAGCTGAGGGCTCTTTAAACTAGACCTCACTCTGTGGGATCCATGCTTCCTCCACCACGGCTTTCCTCTTTATCCCACAGCCAGGGGACTTCACACCTGCACCAGCAGGACCTCCGTATGCCTGAGTGCGGAAGCCTAGCTCTTGGTTTGGCAGCCTTAGGCAGGAAATGTTCTGAAGAAGAGGGGAGCCTGAGTTGAGGAGGAGAGACATCCTGAGGAGCAGGGACTGGTGGGAAAACAGTGAAGACTTAGACCCTCAGAAGGAAGAAGCAATGCCTTGTGTTTACAGAGCATTTAGGGAGTTTAAAGATGAAATGACAGTGCCCAACATGAGACAAATAATGCAGGAAACTGGGTTATATGAAGAAAAACATGGCATCAGGATTGGAAGAAGACTCATTAATAATCTGAGATATACAGATGATACAACCTTGCTTGCTAAAAGCAAAGAGGACTTAAAATACTAACTGATGAAGATCAAAGACCAAAGCCTTCAATATGGGTTTCATCTTAATGTAAAGAAAACAAAAATCCTCACCAATGGACCAATAAACAATATTCAAAAATTTCATTTTCCTCTGATCAACCATCAGCACTCATGTAAGCAGCAGTCTAGAAATCAAACAACATATTCCATTAAGCAAATCTGCTACTGCACAAGACTTCTTTAAAGTGTTGAAGAGCAAAGATGTCAGTTTGAGGACTAAGGTTACTTTCAATAACCTAGTATGCAAGCTCACCAGCTGCTCCTTGGAAACCCTATATAGGGTCGCTATGGGTCAGAATCGATTCGACAGCATTTAACAACAACAACAACAACATATGCATATGAAAGTTAGACAGTGAATAAGGAAGACTACAGAAGAATTGATGCATTTGAGTTATGGTGTTGAAAGAGAATATTAAATGTAACAGGGCTGCCAAAAGAACAAACAGATCTTTGTTGGAAGAAGTACAACCAGAGTGATCCTTGGAAGCCGGGATGGCCAGACTTTGTCTCTCATACTTCAGACATACTATCAGAAGGCACCAGTCCCGGGAGAAGGATATCATTTTGGTAAAGTGAAGGGTCTGAGAAAAAGAGGAAGACCCGCAACAAGATGGATTGGCACAGTGGCAGCAGTAATGGGCTCAGGTGTAACAATGATTGTGAGGTAGGCTCAGGATCGGGCAGTGTTTTCTTCTGTTGTGCATAAGGTTGAGATGAGTTAGTATCGACTCAATGGTACCTAACAACAACTATGTGAGGCAGAATATTCAAGTTAGAAGGGATCTCAGAGGTCATCTGTCTTCCCCTTCCAGCTTCTAGTTTTCAGATGAGAAAGCTGAGGCCTGAGATTAGACCTCGAATCTCTGTTTCTCCCTGTCTGGTACTCCCCCACTAAGCAACACTACCTCTTTGGGAGCAGGGAGAGGTATGTGGGCATGACCATCCGTGGTGGGCATCCACCCGTGGTGGGCATCCACATAACTGGCAAAGCAGGCAGGACACAGAAGCCCTTGGGTATGATGGGAATGGCTCTGAAGTCCCCAAGGACCAGCGCTGTCCCGAAGGCTCATGTTTCTTGAGAGATGTGTCCTTGGCCTCTGCCAGATGACTGTACAGTAGATTTAATGTCATTTAAAAAATTGTCCAGCCCGTGTACATTTGGGCTTCACATGTCCCCTTTCTGGCTTGGTAGGACACAGAAAGGTTCAAGGCCCTCAGTCAGGAGCTGCAACAGAAACTATCATCTAAGGAGCAAGAATTGGAACAGCTCGTCCAGAAGCAGAAAAGGGTATGTTTTTGTCAGTGACCTTATAGTACCTGGCTTTTTTTTTCCATCCTTTTCTCTGGCTCTGCCTATCTTCCCTGCCATTCACTGGCAGAGCTTGTTTCGTTGTATTCTTCTTAATCTAAGAAGAACCATTTAGCTGTAAAAAGGATAGCACTGAAACCTCAGTGTAAAACTTTGAGCTCTTCAATGTCAGAGGATGAACTTGGAAAAGTTACCAAAATGCCCCACGAGATATTTGCAGATATTTTAATATACTTATGTCCAGGAGCAATCAGAATGCTGAAACTTTAATGTGTGTTCTGCATCCTGTGAAAGAAAGGGAAGGCATTATGCAGTGAAAGGGACATTGTCTAGTGACTGATATTCCAGGCAGGAAGTGGGAGGGTGGATACACAAGTCTCTTCTCTCCAGGACGAGCATGGATACTTAGTTGGAAGAGGATCTTGACAGGTCCGTATTCTGCCTCTCCTCAAACCTGGATGAGTTTCCTCCATCTCCTTTGTGATGATTCCCAAACCCTGCAGATAGATACAGATGCTCCTGTCTAATGACCTGAGCCCCCAGGAGGCAGGTAGGGAGGTGCATGGTGCAGTGTAGTGTCCACTGTGGCTGAAGCTTGGCAGGTGCCCCCAGGAAGATATGTCACCTGGGAAAACTTCATACTCCTCTCCAAAGCAAGGGTTCATGAGGGAGAGAGGCCAGGATACTGTGGGGTCTCTGTTTTGTTTTGTCTGATGCTGGAAGGAATCCAGCCCTGGACAGACCCAGCTACATTGCTTCAATTTTGAATGTTTTTCTTGTTGTTAAGTGCCATCAAGTCAGTTCTAACTCATAGCGATTTCCTAGGAGTGGCTGATGGGTTTGAACCGCCAATCTTTCGGTTAGCAGCCCAGTGCTTATCCTACAGCACCACATCAAGTCCCGTTTGAACAGAGAGGACTATTTTTAGCAACATATTAAAATATACTTGAAGATATGCTATGCTAAGACTAAAACCTGTTCACTCCTGCTGCTACTCAGGCTATGGATTTTGGTGTCTTTTCTTCTGTAACAAAATAATTTGAACTCCAGGAACTGCTGACTCATGCCCCTCCCACAGTCCCACCTTGCTTCTCCTGCTCCTCTTTCTCCTCCTCACAATTATGCATTAAATTCTTCCCAATTAGATTTATCCCTCAAATGAATGATTGCCACTCGATTTAATTACTGCATGCTTGCCTGATTACACAGGAGCCTCTTGAGAATCATACAGAATTCCTTGTTTTTGCTTTCTCCTCTCCTGACTGGCCGCATTCATTAGACTAAATTTATTATGATGTGTTTGCCTTGGTTTGATTCTTTCTCTGGTAAGAGAATTGGAAGCTCTGCAAAGCATAACTGCCAGCCAAGTAAAGCTGAAGTTATTAAAACACAACGTTTTTAAAAACTTGCTTTAGGGACTTCAGAAAGAGTCTATGTTCTGTTTGACCTGTTTTAGCATTTTCCTAAGAATTTCTATGATTTCTGGTTACCATATGAGACCTCTGTGGGTTTAAGGAATTGGACTTATCTGGCTGAGAATAGAAAATGAAATAAATTTTCTGTCATAATTCCAAGCTGAGATGGATGATTTTATGAAGCATGTTACTCAACTGTTCTCCAGCTCCGCAAAGGGCCAAAGAGAAGAATTTGACTTAAAAGACAATAAGAGGGATTTCACTTAGATCTCAAGACCATTTTGACTTTGGATAAGAGATACCAGAGGACTGTGGAATTTCCTCCCCTGGTGGTCTTTGTGGTGTAGCTCCCCCTGGACTATTCAGTGGTCCTCTGTGAAGATAGTAGAGGGACACTTTGAGCTCTGATAGCTTCTCCCTGCTGCAAAAGTTTGTATATGAGAATTAAGGGGCAGGATCAGGCTTTTGAGCAATGAGAAGTAGCAGTGATGGTCTCTGCTTTTCCCAAGTGACAAAAGCAAGATGAGGCCAGGCAGACCCGCCACATAATAGAGGATGCTCATCTTTGCCCTCTTTTCCCCTGCTCCCCAAGCTGGAAGGCCAGTGCATTGCCCTGCACAATGACAAGCATGAAACTAAAACGGAAAATACCAAGCTGAAACTCACCAACCAGGAGTTGGCCCAAGAGCTGGAGCAGACCTCCCGTGATCTACAGGATGCTCAACAGCAGCTGAAAAGTCTTCATCAGGAGGCCTACAAGCTGCACCAGGAGAAGGAGATGTGAGTCTGGTCTTGTACATTCCCACTGCTCTCCTCCAACTTCTTCCTCTGCTGTGAGTCACAGAGTCTGTCTCCTACCTGGGAAACGGAGACTTGGGCTCATTGCTCTCTGAGACCTCTTCCAGCCCTCTTCTGAAATTCCAGCAGGATAATGCACTGGACTGAAAGGTCAGTTTGAACCGTAAGATCGGCAGTTCAGAACTCCCATCCGTAACTCGGAAACCCTATACAGGGTCGCTGTGAGTTGGAAACAACTCAACAGTACTTAATGACAACAAAGGAAGCAGGTCAGTATTGCATAGGATTGGCATGCAAGAAACAGTTCTTGCCCTCCGAAAATTTATGATGTGATTGTAGTTGTTACTGTTAAGTGCCATCGATTCCAACTCATTGTTGTTACATACTATTGAGTCAGTTCCTACTCATAGTGACCCTTTGTAGGGTTTCTGGTGAGTAACTGGTGACCTTGCAATTCAAACCAACCTTGCGCTTCCAGTGCTTATCCTACAGCACCACACCAGGACTCAATTCTGACACACAGTGATCCTGTATAGGGTTATGGAGGTGTGTTTGAACCACCAACTTTATGGTTAATAATCCAGTGTTTATCCTACATTCCCACACCAGGATTCCAGTTATTGATTATGTGATTGTTGTTGTTAAGTGCCATCGAGTCCTTTCTAACTTATAGTGACCCTGTTTAGGTTACCGATTTGCGGTTGGTGCATTTCTTATTGTATAGGTTTCTTTTTTTTTTTTTTTTTTAGGAAACATTTCCAATTTTTATTCATAAAATTAGTAGTCAAAATTGCGGAGTCACATATCAATAACAGAACAAGCAGGAAATGAAATGTTCCTGAGACATCTTGAAAAGTTCCCAAGGAACACACACTAGGTTAGAAATCTACAGTTAAACAGTGGTTCCACAGCAGTTTGTATTCATTCCTGCATTTTCTCAATAAGTTCTTCCTCATTTTTGCCTTTCTCCTTTCCAACATGGTGAGATTTGGCTTTGTGTTCAAGAATTTTTTTCTGATCTTTGTCCAGTTTGCTCCTGGTTATGACCATCATGCTTGGGTGAATGTCCACATGGACGGTTGTACCATTAACCTTCTCCCTCTCTCTATTGATGACATATTTTTTTCTGTATGCCTGGACTACCTTGTCAATTCACTGACCTTCGTAGTGTCCTCCTCAAACCACCTGGACCTTGACGTCCTTACAGATGGGTGTGGAGCATATGTAATACTTCTGCCACAGCTCCCTGCAGACCTGAGATGTGATTTTCTTGCGCATGTGGCTTCTTGACGTGATCCAAGGTAACTAAGGTGTTGAACTTCATGAACTTCATGGTAGGATGCCAGGGGGTCTCAGATCCTACGCATGAAGGGCCAGACGTCAAATTTATGTAAATATTTATTGATTTTTTTTATCATAAAATAAGGCTTACAATTAAATAATAGCAACTGATGTGTCCAACTTTTTACAAGTGACCTTCCAAAAGTTTGTGGAAAAATGGATCTTTTTACAAACTTTTTGAAGCCCCCTTCTATAGATCTTTATTTCATTATGGCTTTAGACAATAATTTGAGAAAAAAATCTTCGTCACTGAATGATAGTTGAGAGAAAAAATATCTTTTAATTTATAGTAAACATAGCCCAAGAATTGAAATTATCAATCTTTGACAAAAGTAAGCTAGAGAGAACCTATGCCCAACTTGTCTGCTTCACTTTCCAATGGGTTGGCTAGAGTTCTGCTAGACCATACAGTGACTTTTGGCCTGCTGATTAAAAGTAGACCAATAATCACATAGGCAGGCTCACAAACATTTCCAGGAGCAAAAATGATGCCCATTTTACAGATAAGGAAAGTGAGGTACAAATTAACTGAAAACTTTGTTCAAAAATCACTCCTTCACCTAGCAATAAGGCCAGTGATAGGATGTACTAGAATTCAGAACAGAAATGCTGGTAACATCAATACTGGGAGTTCATTTATCCATAATTCAGCAAATATTTATTGAGCACCCACCACATGCCAAACTGCTCTGAGTTTTGGGGACACAGGTACAAACAGAACCAAATTCCTGACCTCAAAACTTTCCATTCTAATACTGGAGAATAAGTGTGTTAGATGGTGATAAGAATTGTTTTTTTTTTTAATGTTTTGTTGTGAATTATGTGATAGTTTACATGGGAGAACATTAGCTTTACATTCATCTTATCATATATCATTTCATTGCTATGATTACAATCCCCTCCATGCATCATCAACCAACCAAAGGGTATACCCTGCAAGCCTGCCCCGCCCCCGGTCGTCAGCACACAGCCCCTCTCTCTGGGTCTAGAGTCCCCAGCCACTCCATCTCTCCACGTCATCGTCTCTGCCTCCATCTCTGGTGTCACTGCTTCTCTGGGTAGGGTCCCACACTCTGCTCTTCTCCCTTGATAGTCCCAGGGACCTCCACTCCTAGGCTGCAAAGTCAACCACTCCCCTCCTTTTGCTCAGGCATCCTCTCTAGTCACCAGAATGGAGGTGTGCAGACAGCAAGAGACCAATGAGCAGATTTAAAAAAAAAAAAAAAAAAATGTGCACACCTGTATCTTCTCAGTTTTGTCAGGCATTCCTGGGTGTTCTGATCCTTCCCCCACTTGGTCTCTCCCAAGATGGCAGATCCGGGAGCAGCTGAGAGTCTTGAATTAGAAAGCAATGGATTTCTTGACCAGCAGGTTCACCCATGGTAGATAGGTTTCAGAGAGCTTCCAGACAAAGACAGACTAGGAAGAAAGAGTGACAAACTACTTCTGAATAGTTAGTCACTGAAAACCTTATGAATAGCAGAGAAACACTGTCAGACATAGTGCCAGAAAATGAGCCCCTTAAGATGGAAGGCACTCAAAATGTGACTGGGAAAGAGCTGCCTCTTCAAAGTAGAGTTGACCATGATAACGCAAATGGAGTAAAGCCTGTGGGAGCAAAGTCCACGGGACCTTCATTTGCTGATGAGGCACAACTCAAAATGAAGAGAAACAGCTGAAAACATCCATTGAAAATTGGAACATGGAATGTACGAAGTATGAATCTGGGAAAATTGCAAGTTGTTAAAAATGAAATGGAATGTATAAACATCGATATCTTAGGTATTAGTTAGCTGAAATGGACTGGTATTGGCCATTTTGAATCTGATAACCACATGGTTTACTATGCTGGGAATGACAAATTGAAGAGGAATGATGTTGCATTCATCATCAAAAAGAACATATCCAGATCAGTCATGAGGTACAACGCTGTCTGTGATAGGATAATATCCATGTGCCTACAGAGAAGACCAGTTAAAACCACTATTATTCAAATCTATGCACCAACCACTAAAGCTAGTGAGGATGAAGTAGAAGAATTCTACCAACTTCTTCAATCTGAAATTGATCAAACATGCAATCAAGATGTATTATTGATCATTACTGGTGATTGGAATGCAAAGGTTGGGAGCAAAGAGGAAGGATCAGT